GCTATTTTTTTAAAAAATACAAATTTCTTTGAATTTCACAGTGCGGTTCTCCAGCCATGTAATGTGTGCAAAAATGCATATGTAAGGGCAAAGAGCACATTTGAGTGTATGTATTAAGGAAAACAACAATTCAAAAGTGCATTGCTTTAGGGGGGAAATGCTTTGCAAAAATGTGTGTGCCGTTTTAGGCAAAAATTGCATACAAAGATGTATGCATCTCTTCTCTCTGGGCACAGACTGTTCTCCACACTCAGGGAGCTGGAGAACACCCAGAACAGTATGCAGGTCAGGAGAAGGTAGATTGTTCTGTCTGGAAAGCTGAAATTGCCATAATGCATCATTGCATTTCTCCTTCTTAGGTAGTGGCGCTTGCCCTGTGAAACACCCTCCCACCAGATGTCAAGGAAATAAACAACTATCTGACTTTCAGAAGACATCTGAAGGCAGCTCTGTTTAGGGAAGTTTTCAATGTTTAATGTTTCACTGTGTTTTTAATGTCCTGTTGGAAGCTGCCCAGAGTGGCTGGGGAGGCCTGACCAGATGGGCGGGGTATAAGTAATGAATTATTATTATTATTATTACCATATTTTTCTGTGTATAACATGCCCCCATGTATAAGAGAACCCCTATTTTTGGGACTATTGTTGAGCTTTTTTATGGGGGGGGGAGATTGCCCAGAGTGGTTGAGCTTTTTTGGGGGGACACCGTCACCAATCGCTCTGCAGCCTGCCCACAACTGCAAATTGCATGCATTGCCACGGCCACCAATGGCTTGCACGCTTGCAGCCCAAAACCCACCTGCCCACTTGACGCAACCACAGCCAATTGCACACATGCCTCACCGGCACCGTAAATCGACCGCCCAATTTCCGCAACCACAGCCAATCATCAGCAGACCTTGCTGCAGCAACCAAACACATGCCCAATCGCCGCTGCTAATCTCCTGCTGGCTGCTGCCACCAATCGCCCATCCCGCCTCTGCTTTCCATGCATAAGATGACCCGCAATTTTTGGCTATTATTTCTAAGGATAAAATATAGTCTTATACACAGAAAAATACGGTATGTTTTGTCTCTTAAAGTCTACTGTCATTTTCCAGGCTCTCCCCATGCCTGCCACTCATAGATATCTGCTAATGATATGCATGAAAATAAAGTTCTCGAACCTAGTATTCCATTTGTTCAGATTGGTGCTTCTTGTGTGTGACAATTTATTAAATTAATTTCCTTTTTAAAAAGAGTATGCTGGGTTACAGCCCTTCCACAAGATATCGCTGAGCTACTGGTCTTGATTGCCGATTTTTTAAAGATCCTTCTCATTGGCCTTCTTGCTCAAAAGCTTAATTGTACCTTTACACTTGTCACTACAAATGCACATCATGCTAATCTATTTCCCTTTGGAATGGATGCACTTCACAGGGCTGATTCATCTGGTGAAGTGATATGGACAAAATGGAGCCTCGACCAGCTGCAGGTGGTTTCAAACAGCCTTCCTTTAATGATTAAACTGCGTGAATCAGCCTTGCAACAAATGGCTTCCACATAGTATTGAATTGATGGCATGCAAAAATTGCTTTTCTTTCTCCACGTTTACCAGTCGGCAATAGGGACAACTGGATATTGTGGCTAATATCATCTAAATGTATTGCTTTCCTTGAGCAATGCATCTGTAGAAAGGATCTTATTGTTGCCAAATGAATTTATAATTCCTGACTGCTGTGACACTATTCTTCCTCTATTGCACAGTTATCCTCATTGGAATTGATATTTTTCCATTGCTCTTCTATGGAGTGTAAGTAACCCTATTGATTACCTCTTAGAACACTTCTTGCTTCACTAACTTGGATACATTTTTCATATCACACTCAGCTGAACTTCCTTGGGTGTCTTTAGCTTGATGGTCATTAGTTCTTTTTATCTGTAATAGAGCTTCTTGGATTTTATTTCTTTTATATAGATTTACTCCTTCACTTTATAATCTGCCACAGACACCACTGATCTTTTGTTTTAGCTGTAATTTTTCAAATGTTGGTTATTAACAGCTAACCGGTTTATTGAAATTGGCCAACTATCCAAGCTGTAAATCTTGTGGTGTTTAGTTTAATGCTCCTTCGATAACAGCAGAGTGGAAAGTTTGGGGGAAGATTATTATTAAGAAGATTTATAATATTGCCGATATAGTTTTAGTACACAGCTAGGTGCAATATGGCTGCAGCAGCTGTGTTCGAAGATCTGTTGTTCCCTTGTCATTGACGTAATGGATTTTCCACTATTCACAATGGCCTGATACTTTTCTTATAAAAGGAAATGTCCATGACTTTTTTAAAAAAAACAAAAAACCCCTATAAATAAGTGCTTTGCCAGTTTCATCTACCCTGTAACATGTGCATTGGGCTCTGTGTAACAAATTAGGTGGTCACTGTTAAAACAATAAAATCGTCTCTCTGTCTTCTGCAGTTGCAGTTAATAATATGTGTTTCTTAGTTCTGTTTTGTCATCAGTGTATCTACTTGGACGGGGGAAAACGGCATCTGGTAAAGGGACTCCACAAAAGACATCACTATGCAACTCGATTATTATTACAAAATATGTGTAAAAACTTTTTTTTTACATAGGTTGGGTTTTCGATGTGCTACTTCCAAAAGGCTTTGCAGATTACATTTCAAAAGAACAAAGCCCTCTCTTTGGAGCTTGTTTTCATTGTAGACATAGTAAAGGTAAAGGTAAAGGGACCCCTGACCATTTGGTCCAGTTGTGACCGACTCTGGGGTTGCGGCGCTCATCTCGCTTTATTGGCTGAGGGAGCCGGCGTATAGCTTCCGGGTCATGTGGCCAGCATGACTAAGCTGCTTCTGGCAAACCAGAGCAGCGCACGGAAATGCCGTTTACCTTTCTGCCAGAGCGGTACCTATTTATCTATTTGCACTTTGATGTGCTTTAGAACTGCTAGGTTGGCAGGAGCAGGGACCTAGCAACGGGAGCTCACCATGTTGTGGGGATTCGAACCGCCAGCCTTCTGATCGGCAAGTCCTAGGCTCTGTGGTTTAACCCACAGCGCCACCTGCATCCCTTATTGTAGACATAGCAAGACAGAATACTTGCAATTAGGAAGATGGTTGACCTAGTGAATCTGCAGCACTTGCTAAACTGTATTTAAGTCAAGATTTAAAATACAGAGGTACTTGTCTTCCTCTCTTGTCGGAAGATTTTATGTAATATCCTCCTTCCCATCTCTACATGATTTAATGTCAATTCCAATTAAAACCTAGGCAGTATATTTTATAGCCTCTCTTTAGTACCACCCGATGTGAAATACCTCACTCTTTACTTATATCTTAAGTCACTGCACAGAATTATAGGTTACTCATCTCCAAGAAAGGGGGAATATGTAAGATGCAGTAGGTAAAACCCAGTGGTAAGCAACAAACCATCCGGATGGAGTTCTTCAAAGCCAAATTACTTTTAATCAACATTCACACACATGCTTAACAAACAAGCTGCATTCAGAAGACAACACATTCAGCACTGAACTACTGGTAGCATGTGTGTGACTGTAGAACCGGGTTGCTTCGTAGGTAAGAACATTTGGGCCAGGTACATTAATTAACATGTGCTTCTAGCAGATTAAGGGATACAGGCAAATCTAAGACTTACATATAATTAGTGTTTTGTTTGTTTAAATTATATTGTTTTTAAATGAGGAATTCATTTACAGTTGTACATCTATATTTCCCCAACATTCGCTTTGTAGTAATCTGCAATAATAATTTCTAATATTAAAGAAGCAGTAAAACAGACTTACACCTAAAGATCATAGGAACATAATATAATTGTCAGGCATGGAGAGTCCTTCCTTCCTAGTCCTTTTATTACAGTATCATGTTGCGAGCACAAATACACAAATCCGCAAGGAGGGCAGTTGGCTAGTCTAATCCTCCTTCTGACTTTTGCAGCATTTTGGGAGCCAATGGGAAGTTCCTCCCTCCCTCTGACTCCTTTGCTCTCTGATACGTTCGGATGTCCGAGTCCATGGGGGGGGTCCCCCACGCTCTCAAGAGATGTCTTAACTAGCTGCCCCCTCCCTTCTGATTCTCTTGTCGTTATCTCAAAACTGGGTAACTCCTCCCTTAGCTGTTCAGCTTCTGTCTCTCTGCTTCTGAACACGCTGTGGACAAGGGGGGGGGGGACTTCGCCCTCCAGCTCTCCATCAGAGAAAAGCTGGTCTGTCATAGAATGCATTCCCCAGCCCTCATCTTCAGACCATTCCCTGACAACAATTATGTGGGCTGATAGTCAACACCCCAGTATAAGGTCAGAATGATGTCTCTAAATGAAGAAGAATTCTGGGACAAGAGAAGTTACAGCAAATGATATAGGTTATATGTAGGTACGCGGATAAAGGAAAACATTCACTTTGCATCAATTTTAATCAACTTGGCATATCCCTCCCTCCCCCCTCCACTGTTTTGGACCACAACTCCAAGCCGCACCAGCCAGCACAGATACAACTTGCCTGTTCTGCAAGAGGGAAGCCTGCCAAATTTCAGAAGAATAGATGCAGTGGTTCCCCATCTAGACTTACCTTCACTACCTGTGGGTGGGTAATATTAGGTGGTGGTGGTGGTGGTGGTGGTGGAAAAAATAGCATAGATCCTTTTTAAACACTGAAGGGGGGACTTTAACCGCCCCCCCCCAGCAAAGACCCTGTTGCCCCAAGGGTCATTGGTGTGGAATGAACTTCTTCCCACCATAGATTTTGGGACATTTCCCCATTGTGAGATAGAGATCTCTCCATTGACTTGCATAGGGGAAGATGTGGTGGGAAAATAGCATTAATCATGAGGAAAGCCAGGGGTAAGGAAAATATTACTCTCAATGATCATGGGGTTGCTACTGGGGTAGGATTCTGGGTATTCCATTGGGGGTTACAATGGAACCTCTCCATCCACTTGCATGAGAATCACGTGTTATCTAGTCCAACCCCAGGCAATGCAGGAATCTTTTGCCCAATGTGAGGCTCGAACCCAAGACCTTGAGATTAAGAGTCTCATGCCCTACTGGCTGAGCTATACCAGAAGAAGGCACAGAGCCACATGAAAAACAATTTTTAGCCTTTTGTCCAAACCACTATTATTAGAGGGCCATGGGGAAATAATTGACTGTAATTAAATACTAGAGCTGACCATAAAAATATAAGATCCCCACTTCTCCATCTGCACCTCCCCTGACCTCTGGACATTTCCCCAATTAGTTGATTTCTTTCTCCTAGGTTGGGCTTACTTTGGACATTCAAGGCCACAGAGCCACTCAAAAGCTAAGAGAGCCCTGTTTTGATTCGAGGATGCCATGACAGCAGTATGATTGGACTTGAAAATGTCAGAACCTTCTCTGAATGATCCTGAATTGTCGCATAGTTTAGGGTACACAAAGAGCTAATGCATACCCCTAGCATTCATCACATTGTGTGAAGGAGACTACCGTCATTTATTTAAGGTCACCCAGTGAAGTTCATGGTTTAAAGGACATTTAAAACCATAGCTTTGTACATCAAGTTATCTAATATTGTGGCCACCATTGTAGAAAATTTCAGTGATGATACAATCATAGAATTGTAAAGTTGGATCACCTAGTCCACCAGCCGGCAATGCAGGAATATGCAGTTGTTCCATACAGATATTGAACCTGAAATCAGGACCATGCTCTAATCAACTGAGCTATCCAGAGATCAGTTATAGTTAGCTCAAAGCACAATAGAAATTTGGACCTAAATACCTCTGCTGGCCTAAATGCTATTTCTTTAGTCTTAATTCTTTGGATAATTAAAAACATTGGGTGACATCTAGCTAAGTCACAATCAGAGTGCTTTGAACATTATCCTTTGTTGCACATACCACTGGGGCAATCAAACCTAGTAACAAGGGCAGAAATACCAAACGATTGAATTAACCAGTACATTTTTTAAAAAGGCACCCATTTTACCTGCTTGGGGATTAGATACCAAGGTGACAGGTGTTTTAGGAAAATTAGTACAAGAACAAACTGTAAGAGATTTTTTTTTTTAAAAAGCACTATATAATAGCACTAGAATTAATGCCTGTGCTGTTCGCCCTTCTTTAAATAGATAGTTTTATTTAACATTCAGGTAGCTGATTGCATGCTTGACTGTAAACAATGCTGTTTAATTTCATTATTCTTGTCCTAGTCACACACAGAGAAGCTTACCCTAATCTCACTTCATATGGTGTCAAAGATACAAACACCACTTAACATTTTTTCTCCAGCAGAAATGCTAGTCCTAAGTATTAAGTCATTCATTTGTATTTCAGTCAATCCTTGGTAGAATCGTGACCCATATAATCTGCTGGAAGCTTGGCATGAATTTTAGCATCAAGGAGCTATCTTTTTTTATTGTATTCCAATCCTGAGCGCTGTAGGTTATGTGACAGTCTCAGATATGATTTAAAGCAGGGGCTTATTCTTGAATTATATATGAAATTAATAATACAACCAGCAGGGCTGGCCCTAGTGTTATTAAACTCAATTTTGTGCTGTCCCTATGAGCCGAATTTTAAATATACTGCATAACCATTAACCAGTAAAACATAAGTTCAGATTTGACATTTTCCTAAAAAAAGCCAAAGTTGGCATAGCTATTTCAGACCCTCCAAGTGTCCCTATTTTCCAGGAACAGTCCCGGAATTACAGAAGCTGTCCCTGTGTCTGATCGATCCTGGAATGTCCCACTTTTCTTTAGGACATCCCTATTTTCATTGGATAAATGTTGGAGGGTGTGGAGTTATGTGAACCCTGTGCCAAGAAGACCTTGGCTCTTTTAGAAGGCATCTGAAGGCAGCCCTGAATAGGGAAGTATTTTAATGTTTAATGTTTTGCTATATTTTTATATATGTTGGAAGCTGCCCAGAGTGGCTGGGGCAAGCCAATCAGATAGGCAGCATATAAATCATCATCATCATCATCATCATCATCATCATGAAATAGGATGTCCCTATTTTCATCAGAGAAATGTTTGAGGGTATGCAGTATTTTGGTAGAGAAAAGTTGTGGTTTTTATATGTACAGCACAATCTAACAATAGAAATATTGACAAATTAAGATCCAGCACTGTGTAGTGATCAGAGTGCAACCCAGGACCCCATTTGGCCATGAAGATCACTGGGTGACATTGGACCAGCCACTGCCTCTCAGCCCAACATCACAGCATTGCTATAGAGATAGTGGACCTTTTTCTTCTTAAGGGGAGCATTCCAAAATGAGACATTAATGCAAGCTTTGTCCAGAAGATTGACAGATGGCTATAAAGGAAGGACTGGTCAGAAGAAGCCATGAGTCTTTTTTTACCTGTGCACACATACTGTGTGTGTTATTTTAAAATGTTAGTTTCAGCCTGGTTTCTTTTCCATGCATTTAAAGCGATAGCCTTGCCAAGCAACTCTTTTTTAGGAAACAAAAAACAAAATCTGCCTGAACTGGTACATTCTCTCAAATATCACCATGGCCTTTCAAGTCACTTTTCCTTCACAGTTGATAATTCTATTCTCTTGGAATTTAGCTTCCATTATGTGTCATACTATATATATTCCTGTTTTATAGAATTAATGGCAGGGAAAGGTACATTGCAGGCTTTTCTTTCCCTTTCTTTGCTTTTCTTTGCTTTACTACTTTACTAAATTTAGCTCAGCTTCCTTTCGAGACTCTGCCATTCCTTCAGAATAGAAGAAAATCTTTTAGGGGTGGGAGGAGCCATTGTAAATATTCTGAGCTGCACTTTATTTATTCAAATGCAGAACATTTTAACAGAAAACCACGACTCCAAATAACAATTTACTCTGTGCAGCTTCACTGGGAAGAATTATAAAAACAATAGCTGCTCTTTCGCTAATAAGGAAGATTGGTTAAAAAGAATATTGTTGAAGCCATTGAAGCAGAGGAGCTCAAGAGCTATTTTCTAATGCTTCCTCCTTCACAGAAACCCACTGCAAATGACATACGTAATGGGAACAGTAGGTGGAAGATGTGAAGGATATAGCTGAGTCTCACATCAAATATTCAACAATATGATGTACGCTTCCCTCAGATAATTAATTTCCTAGAATTAACCTTCATTGTTAACTTCTCTCCAATTCCTTTCTCTGTTCATTTCCTCTCCTCAGCTAATATTTGGTTCCTGGAGCTACTCCACTTTCAGACTGAGAAATATTAATTACACAGTTAACTACTAAATAAAGTGTATATATTGGGAAATGTGCCAAAGAGATTATTGTGTATGCTGATGCCTCTAATGGTAGTAAGGCCAGTTCAATGGAGCATGTTTGATGATAAGACTGATTATTATCTGAGAAAGTACTTGGAACACTAATCTGAAATATTAAGGACACAAGGTGTAAGAGGTGACTTCTCTTTGCAAAAATTATTTCATTCGGCTAATAGCATTTAGACCAACTTTCTTCTGGGGATGGCTTTTAATATATTTGTTCAACTGAGTGTTTTTACACATGACAGCCAATTACATTATTCATTGAGACAGACCTGGCACAAGTCACCTTGATAGATGGGAAGAAGAGCAACGGTATTCAAATCAGAGCTAACAGCCAGTACTTCATATGGCCTCTCAAAGTAGATGGCTAACCTCCAGAGTTTTCACAGGTACTTCATCAAGAAGTATGTAACAACTTGGACGTGGGGATTACAAAATATTTTTCCCCTTGATTTGCGAACTAGTTCAGGAAGATCAATTGTACAGTTTGGGGGGAATACATCATATAGGTGGCTTTAAATCATTCTTTACTACCCCCCCCCCACAATTACTACCCAGTTATGGTTTTCTTCTTGGCTGATTATTATCTCTCCTTTTCTATCCCTTTGCACAATTTCAATGTTAGTCAACAGTCTTTTAGGTTTGCATATATTTTGACATATTTTCACATTGGAGGTTAGAAAGGACACAGTGTCTTCCTGCCCTTTGGAAGAAGAAGGAAAAAACCCCTGATAATGAAAACATACCGAAGCTTCTCTTCGGCAACATCATTTTATTCTTTCTTTACTGAATTTGGGGTCGTCTCCCCTAATACTGGTGCTCTGTTGTCTGTGTGACAAGGTTTGTCATTCACTACAATGGAAGGAGCACTGCCTGCATCTATTTTTCATGCACTGAGCTATTCTGACCAATTAAATGAATGGGGACCACTCTGTCAAGCTCAGTGGTTTAATTTATACACCGAAGCTACCGTTTGTGCAAGGAGATGGATTGTGGTGATTGTGTACTTCTTTCTCTTTGATACTCATGCAACTGTCATCTGAATCAAACAGATAACTACTTTTAAAACTGTAATAAATTTATTTACCACCTCTTACCTTGGTTCTTATAACCAAAACCACCAAAAGGGTTATTGCACCCTTTCCTTTAAACAGTATCTGAAGAATGTTTTGCAATGCAAACCTCACCATGCCTACTCAGATGTCCTGATGAATTCATTGGTGCTTACTCCCCGGTAAGTGGGGTTAGCATTGCAGCCTTAGTTTCTAATGCTGTGATCCTATACACACCTACCTGGGAGCAAATCAAAATTGGATTCAATGGGATTTACTTCTAAATAGACATGTGTCTATTTCGGCTGATCACTGAAGAATTGATGCTTTTGAATTATGGTGCTGGAGGAGACTCTTGAGAGTCCCACGGACTGCAAGAAGATCACACCTCTCCATTCTTAAGGAAATCAGCCCTGAGTGCTCACTGGAAGGACAGATCATGAAGCTGAGGCTCCAATACTTTGGCCACCTCATGAGAAGATTCCTCGGAAAAGACCCTGATGTTGGGAAAGGTGGAGGGCACAAGGAGAAGGGGACAACAGAGGACGAGATGGTTGGATAGTGTTCTCGAAGCTACCGGCATGAGTTTGACTAAACTGCAGGAGGCAGTGGAAGACAGGAGTGCCTGGCGTGCTCTGGTCCATGGGGTCACGAAGAGTCGGACAAGATTTAACGACTAAACAACAACAACAGACAGACATGTGTAGCACTTTGTTGGAAGCCGTTTCATGGGACAATAAGAACATAAGA